GCGAATGACAACCAGATGATCATAATATATCGTGAATGTTGTCATAAAAATAAAAATAGGATCATCATAATTGAAATTGAGCTCATTTACCAAGCCTCAAAAATAATGTCAGCATTGAGGATACAAAGAAAATTGAATTCGACATGCATGCACGAGAATTTTTATTATTTTAAACCAAAATAAAAAAAAGTGATCGGAATTAACTCTCGAATCTATTGTGTACACAAAGTGTCTGATACAAAAAATAAATTTTGGAATGAATATGTTGCGCAATAAATATTATTAAAATAAATAAATTTTAGCATCAGGAGTAAAAATGTTCCATCATGCCGGGGTATCATATGCTCATTCAATCAACAATATCGAAAGCTTGTGAATGTGTATGTACGCTTGAGGGTAGATGATGCTATTAAAAAGATTGATTATGTTACGAGTTATGAGCATAGCACGCTCATACCTGTGTCGCTGCTCACTCAACCTACTCCTCGTTTCTCATTTATTTTTCGTTGTATGAAAATTGAATTTGAAATTAAAAAATTGAATTTCTTTTCTCTTATGCTGTGTGGAAATTAAATTTTTTTAATTAATTTTTTTTGTTCTACTCTTTTCATCATACAGCACGAAACATACACAGGAAGATAGATTTAATGATGATGAAATTTTTTCTTTGATTTATTAGAATTTTTGTGCTTGATTCATTAGTTTTCACATGTTATTAGCTATAATTTAATTATAATCGTACAATATGTGACGTGATTTCAATGTTAAGAGGTACTGAATGTATAGATTTAAAGAGAGTAAATTTAGCTTGCGCGTGGATATCAGGATAATGTTAATCGATCAATCATTTTGGCATCAAAAACACTCACACTTAAAATAAATGAGTTGACTGAATTTTTTACAATTGAGGCTTTAGCTACGCAATTTAAAAATTGAAAATGTATGAGCTTCAGCCGTAACTTAATCTCACTACCACAACATAAATCCCACATTCCCTTTATAAACATAACCAAAAGAAATTCAATCCGCAAAATTTGCATACTTAATTAAAAATCAAGCAAAACACAGTCAGTTCCATTTGACAAAAACAATAGTCCATTATGTCACGTTATTGATAAATGATTCTGCACGTACACATGCTTATGGATGTTATAAACATAAATATGAAAAGTTTTTTTTTGGTCTATGAGACTACGAAATACCACAGCACAAAGAAGTAAAGATGAAAGATAGCTTTAGAAGAAAAAATCATAAATAGAATGTCAAGAAATGTTCTTTAGGGATGCATGAAGGAAAAAAGAGAGAAAAAAAATCACAGAAAGTTTAGCTGTTTATTCTCATGTTCTGCTAACCATGCCCTGTTTATGATAAATATACGCCTCGTGGATGTTACTTCTTCACTATATGAGATTCTTTGGATCTACGAAGGAGTCGTTTGAGGCATACGAGCGATGGTTTGATATCCAAGAACTTTAGGAACATTAAAACTGGATAATTTTTGGGCATTTGTGACTTTTTGTATTTTTGTACTATGAAAATTAAAGTCACAGATGCAAGTTACTCAGTTTAAAAAAGCTTTTCATAGCTATGGCCATAGAGAATTTTCAAGACCCCTGAATTTTGATCACATTTTCATCTCCCTAGGCATAGAATTTATTTCTTTTATTTTACATCAACAAAAAGATTCTTTGGAACTGATGAAAAGTTCTAGGAATCTCCCCTCGATGATAATCCCTACACGTTTCCATAAAAACTCAGCAATAAGTAAATGCACATACGCACATACACGTCAATGTATTATCTCCCAAAAAAAAATATCATTTTCATATCTCGAGCACGTAATGCGATGTGCTTTGAAAATTGCTTTATGCATAAATTGAATGATATTTCCTTTTGCCATGCCATATAATCATCTTTCAATTCGCCAGCGAAGGAGAACGGAAGAGACTGTCTTGTTTGAAATTTTTTTCAACTGCTTTCCACTCAAAAAAAAATAGAATCTAAAATCCCTTTTGGGTTGAAATGAGATTCGCTTTTTGCATTAAGTGCTATAGTTTTAATATATTTTTTAACTGATAAGGCACTGAAAATAAAGTGAGTGTCATGTCATGACACTTTATTCATAAATTCTCACATGCAACATATATTTTTTTTATCGGTAGGCAGAAATGCTTGAGGTTATACTTGATGATGGACTGTTTTTTAAATAATCAAGTTAAATTTAAATGTGTTAATTAAATAAGTAGAAAATGGAAAATAAATGTCGATGAAAATAATTTAATAGACTCGATAAAAAATTTAATTATTTTTGATAAAAAGTGGCAATTTAATTTTTTTTTGTATGTCATGAAGGAATTGTTGTGGCCGGCTGATCATGATAGGTATAGGTAGTTCAATATAATGTTGCAAAATATTTTTGAACTGTGATATTTGAACAACTAGATCAGTGATGGACAACCATTGTGCCGCGACACACTAGGTGCCGAAAATATTTTGGATATCCCACGAACCGCATGAATTGTGTGGTTTTGGTCATGAATTTCCACCAAGTGTGTCGTGGCAAAAGGTTGGACACCACTGAACTAGATAAGTAAGTGTAGGCAAGATAGAGTCCTTAGTCATAGGTGGTCATTAGGTGTCTGGCTAATAGTCTAAGAAGCTCTAATTATCAATAAACCTCCTCACCTGTTCCTTTTTTTGGTAAAACATGAATCATAGCTAAAGTATGAAGGAACAAATTAATATGAAGCTTTTCTAAGAACAATATTAAATTGAAATTCATGTCTTATTCCCCAAAAAATTTTCATTTTCAATATTCATCATAAAGCCACTCCACAAATAAAATTGACAGCCACGAATGAGGTTATGTAAATTTTAAAATAAGCAAATTCAGTGTACTCAAAATATAAGCATTTACATATGTCCTATTTATTAGAGGAATTCACGTAAAAAAGAAATTCATGAATAATTGAAATTTTGCCATTTCCAAAAAAATTCTAACATGCTAGAAATGTTCATTTTTCTAAGCTTATTTATTTAACGAAATAATTCAATAAGCACAGCCAGTTCTAAAAATTTCCTTTACATGGTTTACTACAGCTTCCGTATTCTTTCCTTCCGCCCACATTCCATTCTTACTATGATAAGCTGTCACTTTATGTTAACATTAAAATTCATGAAATTTATTCTTAAGGCTGAATAGGAGATGAAAAAATTCTTGTGCGTAAGACATAAAATTCCTTCTTTTATTCTCTTTTGTGTCGAGTCACGAAAAAAAAGTTTTTTTTTGTTTCCTCAAAGCTTGGGCTCTTTGCTATTGTTAAGGATTGTTTGTTTAGTGGACAGGACATTCTTAGAGATTTTTGTGGCTGCTTTTTTATGTGTAGCTGCATATTAGATTTCAATTTGTAAGATGTGAAGCATAGAAGAGTATGTGTTGCTATAAATGTTATGTGTACTACATAACCAAAAGATATCCCATCAAAATAGCAGATTTCATAGGAGCTAGGGACATAGCCAAAGAGAAATTTGCTCTAATTTGAGGTCGTTAATGTGGTTCGGATCCCACTATAAACTGTAGGTCTAAAGGGTGTGGTACAATAGATTCTGTTCTAATTTGAATCGCAGTGCCTCCAGCTGAAAGGCTGGGCCCTTCACACATTATTATTATATCAAATTCTTGATTGTGACTGACGTTATTTATGAAAGTCCCCATACTAGAGCTTGAAATCGATGAAATTTTGTATGGAGACTCCGCAATACAAAATCAATGAAAATCTCGAGTCGACTTCGAGCTCTGTTTTCTACAACTTGTCTAGCCTTGAAGCCCTAGACACACATCATATAAGGCTTCAACCTTTAATATAATTCAAATCTCTTTCATGCCTCCTTTTTTTATTTCGTGAAAATTGCTTTAGACGAAGATTTTTAATGGTCTTTTTTTTAATGGAAAAGCAGCAACTCCCCATATTTTCCTATTCTTTTATTAAAGGACGATAACAGAGGTTTATTTTTATTATTAAATGCTTTTTCTCCTTCTTTTGTCGTCATCGTCATTTTCTTATTTTTTTGTAATAACAACAATGCATACTGCTCAGGCTTCTTATAATACTTTTCTACTTCTCCGTCCATCACACAGCACCCTCAAGTTCCATATCTACATTATGTACTCTTATTTTACGGGGCATAGGCAGAGTGAGGATGAACAAAAAATTGTTATTCTTATTTTTTTATTATGATGAATAAGACAAGAGGAAATGAAAGAAAAACAAAAAAGAGAGAAGATGAACAGTGACAAAGAAGTGAAAGTTGTGTACTTTTTTTTGAGGGTGGAGGTGAATAAAGAATGAGGAATTAATGAAAAAAATATTGAGCGATGAAATTTTGTGGAGTTTTAAAATTGTTTTTATAAATTTTTTTAGCTTTAATGCAGAGGAGGGAGCTTTAAGGATGTCAAGTTAGTAAATATTTGTGGAATATAAATTGAGATTTTTTAAGCTTTATGTGCATTAAAAATCTGGCATTTCGACAAATATGAAGCCATGGCATATTTTAAAATTCATGTTTTTACCCCGAGTAGCACATTTTGGATTTGGCTTTCAATTAGCTGACTCATGACCATATTCAATGTATTGTCTTAAGTATGTGGAACTTTGTCAAGTCAAAGTACTTTATTATAATAATTTTGAGTAAGGCTCATTGGTAGGAATCGAACTTACGTCTTTACAAACAAGAATATTATTAATTTCAAGTCTCTTGCCTAATCATTCGACCACTGAAGCCTTACTCTTACATTGACAGATTCGTCTACAGATAACTTGATGCTCCAGAATCCACTTTGTTTGGTCAAGATAGCTTTAAAACTAGAGCTATGTTTAAAAACAGCTTATACAAGTAGAGTTATCATGTAGACAGCCTAAATCCAATTGGGTGCGAACCCACAAACCAAATAAAAACCACAAACCCCAATAAAATTCATAGAATAAAGGTTTAATACTTACATAACGGCGTTGTTGTGACAAAAATGAGTAAAGTAATCCATTTAATTAATATGATTAAATTGTCGGTGTGTATTTGTTGAAATTTCACATTAAATTTACTGAAACACTTGATTTTTCCAACATTTTTAAACGAATTATGATTTACTATTAGCGATAACATTTTCCACAGAAAATTCTCGGCGTGAAAAATTGATTTTTTTCTTCTTTTTTGAATTTTTTTTTTAAAAATATGTTTTATGACGAAATTTTAAATTTAAATTTATTTTTTGTTTTTGATTGCTGTGCGAAAAACTCCTGAAGAAATTTTCTTATTTAATCGTTTCTGCTTCCTTAATTTTTAATTTTAAAGTATTATTATATAATATTATTATTTATTGTGAGAATTATGAGGAAAATAATTATGAAGTCATGCTATGTGCGCGTGATTTTTATCCGTACAGAACATCCGATAAAATTTCAATTTTTAATGCTGTCGATGTCACGCGATGTCTTAATTTTTTCTCTTATCATCTACGTTTTTTATGAGTTACGTTCTGTTTTTATCCTCGTTCAATTCATTACTATTGACTTTTATGTTATGCTTATTATATGCTTAATTATTTATTTTAATTAATTATGATTTTTTGTTTTATTAAATTTAACTAATTTCCCTGCAAATAAAGAATAAGAAGAAAGTACGGATGAGATTTTGTTCCTTAATACGATTCAGGTGTTAAGGCCTACGCATTTTTCCTTAATGGCTTTTCATTATTTTTTAATTTTTTTAACAGAGTTGTTGCTTTTAATCTTTAATGTTCTCTGACAATGTGAGTAATTGTGATGACTCATTGGGGGGGGGGGGGGGTGAGAGGGGGTTCTTTAGAAAAGATCTCAAGGTTGAGTCATTCTAGATCCTCGTTTGGTCCTAATTGTCAAACCCAAGAGTGCAGAATAGATCAATCACTTTTGATCAGTTCCGAACCCTAAGTTGAACCCCAAAATTCACAAAATGTCCTCAAAATAAATAAGATTTATGCCTCAACTCTTCAACTAAATACACAACATATGTTAAATTTCCATCAAACTTTGAACAAAGGGGGCGGGGGGGGGGGGGGGTGTTCTTTGGAAAATCTCTAAAATCTCAAAGTCGAGTCATTCTAGATCCTTGTTACGTCCTTAATTAAAAAAATCATAAAAAGTCCTCAAAAGTAAATAAGATTTATGCCTTAACTCTTCATCTAAGTACACAACACATGTTTAATTTCCACCGAACCATATCTATGTGCTTTATATTTAAAAACTAAGTGAATGGAAAATCTAGTTTTTATTTCAGTGCTTGCTGAAAACTTAACTCTTTTCACTTCGATTAAACTTTTTCACTTGTAAAAAAAACTGCTTCCACTGAAATGGAATTTCCACTTTCTTGCTCTTTCAACCAGTTTTTATAAAGTTTATTGTAGCAAATCTGAAGCATCACAAAATCCACTTTTAAAATTATTTCGAGATTAAATTCGTAAATATCTTTTTCATGCTCAAGTTATTCTAGCATGGAATAAGATGATTTCAATTGAAATGCACTTTTCTGAGTCAATCTTCTTATTCGGAATCAAATGAAAAGCTGTAGCTGCAGTCATCCGATTATGTCTCATAAAGATATAAAAATGTGACACTCGGTAAAATTCTAGCATTATCTGTAATAATCTCTGTTCATCCACAAAGGAACATTTTTTTTTCTTTATCCTCAGTCTAATGCACTTCCTTCTAGACAAATTCAATCTCCGTCTCAAAGAATCATCTTCCTATTAAATCTACAATATCCCTTTTATTAAAAAGTCCTTTATCCAGGTTCCTTTACATCCAACTCTGTGCATTTCACAGATGTAGAAGTTAAAAAAGGTAGATTGGATGAGAGGAAATATTTATCTATGAAAGCTCTTTTCCTTTTTCCTTTTCTTTTGTGCCTTTGTCACTTGAGAAATGGGCAAAAATGTTCTCTTATTAAAAATTAAATGGAAGGGATGACTATGTGATATTCAGCAACATGTGTTGGAGAAAAGATAGTTTATATATGGTGACGTTTGACTTGTGATGATGACTGGTATAAAATCAAGTCACTTGATATTTTTTTCCTTTGAGGGTGTACATTAAAAGTATATTTTTCATGTAGCTGTGAATCTTTCGTGCTTTTGATATACAAGAAAAGTTGTATCAAGGTCTTATAAAGTAAGACTTGAGCCTACACATAGAAAAGGAGCATTGCCTGAATTTCGGTCGGCTGTATTTCAGCCATTAAAGGTTTGTTCAAAAATTACGAAATTATTGGAAAGTTGAGCATGTATAAATGTAGTAACTGAGCCACATGACGTTACTGTCTTTTCAGTCAGAATTTTATTTCAGTTCGAGATATAATCACCAGTATAGACTAGCTAAACAGTTGAATTCTAGCTCGAAGCTTTCTTCAATCTACCCAGTCTGACTACAAAGCAAGACTTAAAGTATCGATCTCATTTCCATAAAACTAATTAGGTCACTAAGCCGATAAAAAAAGATCAACTATTTTTATGCATAAAATTAAAAGGAACAAAAATAAAATTAAAACCTTCCCAGAACCTCAATGGTAGAAAAGTTTACGATTGAGATTAATGTAAAGCAGTAAAAGAGTCAAAGAATGGAATGAGAAAGGAAAGCTCTTGTGAAGCTTTTTCATCAACAATTTACTTGTTACATTTTTTTCCTAGCTTCCTTCCTTCCTCTTTCTCTACCTTTTTCTTTACACTTCTAAATTATCATGTAAAGTAGTTGAAATGTGTCTTTTATAGCTTTTTATGATGAACTGAGGCGCATTTTCTTGTGAATTCATAATTTTTGAGTTGGAATCATCATTTATAGTTACAATGTGTTGCAGTCTGCAAAGCATTGCTCTGGAGGGTGATTCAATGAAATAGAAACTTGTAAATTATGGAAATAGCAGAATTGTATATTGGAGCTTGTTGTTTAGTCAAGGGTTGAGGGTCAACCTTCCTCTAATCTTAATAGTAACTTCATCCAGTAGTTTTAGAGAAGTTAAGGCCCCTCTTTCTAGTCTTTCTAGTTTGCCAAGTCTTTGCTCTGAAAACTTAACCAATGCAATGAAACTTCAATGAAGCTATAACACAGGCAGTCACAGGTTTTTAGGTTACCTAAAAATCATAATCTCTGCCTGTGATTCATCCTGAGTCATAATTACAGACAACAACTCTGCAACCTTATCCAATCAAAGTGAACATCAAAGCACATCTTCCTTTAAAAAGTGCGTCAAAAGAGTAGAAACTGTCAGAGTCTCTTGTGTGCCTTTTGCATTTATCTCTCTTCCTTCTTTGCCATTCTTATTTCCTTTTTCTTTTGTGAATCAATGCGAGACTAGGAAAAAATTTGTTAAAGCGATTACTTTGTGATGATATTTGACTAGGATATATGAATGGAAAGAGGAAATAGAAAAAGAAAGTTTTTCTCCTCAACAATAACAGCAGTAGCGGCAGCATCAACAAGAAGAAAAGTGCGAAGATTTGTTTTTGTTTCTTGTTCCATCGTCGAATGAGATCGACTATTTGAGATAATGTTGCCTTGCCTCCCTCCTAACTCACATGAAACTCACACAAGAATTTGTTGTTGATGCCATCATGCAAAGAAAAATAAAACTTTTTCATCGGATGTTTTTCAATATTTTTCTTTTTTTGGGAAGAACTTGAACATTTCGTTTCTTCTTCCGTTTTGTTGGTCGCTTTCTGTGGATAATTCATGAGGTTAATGTGTGTACATACACACATGTGCTGGAATATTTAATGTATTTGTGCTTAATGTAAAGCATATTGTGTGTTATATTTGCTTGTGGTTCACAAAAAATATTGCAGAAGTTTCCCCTTCTTTTATGTACATGATGAAATACGGGAGATACATACATACTAGTAAATATCATGATAGGGAATGTTTCAATAGAAAATACTAGGGAGAAGTGACTGTCAATCATTAGGAATTTATTCTTGCTTCAAATCCAGACATTTGCTCGCTTGTTGAGTCATAGCTCAATTTTTTCGGGCATTGGAGTCGTTTGATAGTTAGGTAACACACAATATGGAATTTTTCGAACCTACAATATTTGAAAATTAATCCTTTTTACCAAGTTGTGACCGCAAAATTGACTTGATCCCAAAAAACCTAATCTATATCTCAACTATGTGTTCAGATCTCGCAAAGCTTTTAAACTAAGAAGCTACTTCAGCACACAAGTCACCAAAACTCTATAATCATAGTCCCATCTTCCTCAATATCCATAAACTATCAAGGCACAAAATAAGATATTTTTATGAATATATTGTACCATAAATAAATGTATAAGCCCATATGGAGAGAAGCCATACGTGAAAAGGAACACATAAAAATATGAAGATAATCATCTCTTTATATCTCTTCAAAGGTTCAAACAGAGAAAGTTTTCAATTACATATCTCCACAAGCATACACTGTAGAAAGGATAAAATTAATTATTTAGTCATTGTTGGACATAAAAAAAGAGGAGAAGCAAGAAAGAAAAAGTTTTCAATGAGAAAAAAAATATTAATTCTCTTGGTTTTTGTTGCTGCTGACATTATTGATTGCCCCAACCAGTTGCAATCACATTTTTTTTTAAATTCCCTCTTGATTCTATTTTCAGAACCGATGATGGATATAAATTATGTGTCAATTATAAATTGTTATTTAATTGATGTTGGTTTTATAGTTGGCAACTTTTCAATTTATGGAGCATGGGGATGTAGATCTCATTAAAGAATTGATGAGAAACTTTTATAGGTGAGATTAAAGGGAGCAAGAATGATGGAAAATAAGGCAATGGGGAATTATCAGGAATTATAGAAAATCATGTCGCAGGGGAGCGTTTTAGAGAAAATTATACTTTAATACCTGATAGAACTTTTAGATAATTTTCAATCTGGGATAACTTTTTCTCGGTGATTTTCGATTGTTTGGGAGTTTTTGGAGACAAAGGGTGAATTTTGCAGCATTTTATATTTTAATTTACAATGTAAACGGCTTTAATATGGAACCTTACCAGGAGAGTTTATGATCAATGACTCACAGCTCAGTCATTTTATTCTTTAAGTTAGAGCTTGAAACTAAGAGCTTAATCGTAGACAATTCTTAAAT